AATGCTCCCAAAAATGGCTCCACAGCATGTAAAAATATAATATAAGCTCTGGCGGACTTGGTTCTATGGTAGGTCTTAAAGGGTTAAATAATGGGATTGTAACATTGTAACAATATTACACTATAATTCTTAATGACTCTGTCTGGAGGATGACAATAAAAACAGAAATATATAAAGTTTTCTTTTTTTTATTGACAAACTCAGGTTTTGTGTGTTTCTTGGCAATAAATCCCTTCTGATTCTTATTTGACCCACATATTTAATAAAACATTCCCATAAGTGCTAAATAACAGCACGGCGCTGCACGGCTCACGAGCATCGATCTCGTTTCATGCCTCTCCTTAATACCCGACAGTACTTTGCCACAGTGCATTAGCGAAACTACTCGAATAAGACACAAAAGAGCTAATGGAAAATATGCAAAGTCTACACTAAGTAAAAGTGGCTTAGGAGCAAATGTCTTTAGTCCAGTTGAAGGTAATGAAGGGCAAAGAGGTGTGACTTTTATCCATCTGGCATTTGCACTTGAAGGTGAACCTGCTAATGGTTAAGTAAACCGCTAATCCTCCCTCTGCAGTATAATTACACCGTCCCATCTCCCTCATTACCTGCACTCTGTTCCACTTCACCGTTCAGAACGAGCGCGCGCACAAACACACGCGATGGCCAACGCGAGCGTGCACGCTTTTGCACACAGCCACACCGACCGGAAGCGAATTAGAGCGTTGCAAACGTCGACTAAATTGGTTATCTTGAGCAGATACCGGTGAATTATGTTCTCATTCTCCTGAAGGTCTCTCGAACGCAGTCGCACTCCGTGTTTTATGTGATGTCAGAGGCAAGCTGACCTTCTCAGTGATTACTGTCTTCATCAGATACCATAATTCCTCTCGCAAATGAGCATCATGTAACCAGGACGCATTCATCAGTCCAGGATGCAACGCAGCCGTTAGCATCAATCAGCTGGTGATAAACATCTAGTATTCTGTAATAGGACAATGGGACTACGCTTACCTCTAACACTGATGCCTGTTAAATCATACGATACCATGTGGGCAGCGTCTGTGAAGAGTCATTGGCCTCTCTTATCAGCTTTATCCTCTAGCAGGAGCCGAGCTCGATCAATCCTAACTGCATTGGATGGCTACATGGATGTGACTGCACAGGACTGCCATTACCCCTATCGCTTGAACCCATCTGCTTTGCTGCGGATGACAGCAGCTCAGACTGCATCACAGAATTAAGATGGAGACTGCAGAGTGAGCGTAAACACTGCGTAATGCATTTCTATCAAGTTTCAGAATGATTGGGCCGGTCCACAAAAACAGAGAACGAGAACGAGAAGCAGCGGGGCTTTGAGGTAAAAGATTAACAATACACACACGAAACGAAGCGAAACCAGACACACATGTTGTGGATTGATTTCATCACACGGGCTCGTGAGACAATGTGCCGTTGCGTACAGCTAGCTCCTATATCTTTCTGAAACACCAAGGGAAATCAGCGGGGGCCGCCAGATCTGTGCTCGCCACCAGGGAACCGACAGAGTCAAAAGTCAAGACGAAGCAAGAGAACATAGACGAGACGAGACAGGAGAATAAATGTGATTTTAGTATGTCTGCTGGGCGGTACGAGTGTGAGCTGTGTATTACATGAACACAAGCGATAGGAATGATTATGTTTTAGTTATTTAATATGTCCAGTGGAGATTCGAGAACCAGAAAATGGATTTAGATTAATCACAGTCAAGTGAGTGAAAAAGACCAAGAGCTGACCTTTTCTCTTCTCAGGCCTGGATGAGATCAAAGAGTTCAAAGATAAATTGTGTTATCCAAAATC